GGCGGTTCAACATTCATGCAGTCAGTCTCCAGTATCAGGGCAGTCTTAGGTTTGCTGGTCTTGGCCTTATAACCGGTTGGCTCTAGTCAGGGCAGCGAGACTACCAAAGAGATTAGGCCTGCTGGGGTGGCTTCTCTTTTGGTGCTGGCAGGGCCTCAGGGAGGCATGTTCTTTATTTCCATTTGACAATGAATTAAAGCAATAGATACAGGAGAGTGTCTCATCAATCAAATGCAAAATCTCTGGAAGATGAAAATCGAGGAAAGAAAAAATACTAGTGATGGAAATGTGCTCTGAACACTGCAAATAAAATCAACTTTCCGTTAGCTTAACCTAAAAGGACACTCTCCTGTAYCTACTGCTTTGGGTTGGGGGACTGGCAGCACATGTATCAGCCATTTTGTCAACTATATCTTGTCATGATGAGTCATTTCTATGACATTTCCTCCACAGTCGTTGGATTTCTATGGAGTGGAAAATAATCTTGCAAAAAGAAACCTTAAAGAACCAGAAAACCTAACTTAACCTTAAAAGCCAGTCCCCCAACCTCAAAAGTTCTAGATTCAATCCTTATTTTTATGGAGTACAGTCCTAAGAAACCTATTGTAGAATGACTGCACTCCACTTCTCTCATTTCAGAAAGTTCATTGTCCTCAAGGTAATTCTGGCAGCTCTGGGTTTGTTAGATCTTAAAAAGATCATTCATTGTATCTGTAAAGAGAAATAAAAGAGTTATAAGCACTTAGTTGTAGAATGTGAACCACTAATCAAAGAATAAACATGCTGACAATGTTGTCAGACAAGACATATGATTTCACAGTATACACCATTTAATGATTCCCAATAAAATACTCCAGTTTCAAATTCTCTTATGTACAAGCTTAGCTTCAATCAAGCATCTTTTTTGTATACACAGTGTTTGCATTACAATAGATTCTCTTTTGACTAAAAGAATATAAATTAGAGGTTAAGACTGTACAAATAAGATCTCGAAACTGGAGTATTGGACAATATTTATAAATCATTAAATAATAAATTACCTGAATGTAAGTTCGGCCAGACTGTACATTTGTACTTGGCTGACGGCACTGCTGAGCAGCTCAGGTGGTGACAGATGATTGACATCTTGTCATGGTTTTCAAATGTGCTAAAGCACAGCTATAGCAATGTTCATGGGTATCACATGTCAGCCGGTGTAATCATTGTCTATGTATCTGATATTGACGGTTGTGCTGCATTCTTTCTAGCCTGGGTACAGGCTGCATGTTACAGGTATGTTCAACTGTCTGGAACAGAACCTGATTTCCTTTGTGTAATTCCTTTAAAAGCAAATAAAATGATAAGAACGACGATAAAAATATTGTCTACATGAACTATGGTAGGTAATATAGTCGAGATAGATTGCAGGAACTTGAATTTCGGGAATGTTATTGTACTTTTCACAACAAAAGATTAAATAAACAACATTTGAAACTCGCGCCATTACTATACCTCAAAACATGCAATACTTTCGGTTTTTCTTACCTTTTTTKGATTCAAAACGTCCATAAATCGTTTATATACATTTATATGACCGCATTTGGTCTTCTTTCAGCTTTTAAAGCTGTAAAATACAGGATTTTTGCAGCACTTTCCGCCATGTTTTCTTGTTTCCACGTGTTGGACGTGGCATTCTAGTCACGTGATCGGAGACTCCGTCACTAATCCTGACAAGTCCCGAGGGTTGGTTGTCCCGCAAAAAGCGTCCATTTTTAAATGAACAAATTCTAAAATAAATTTTTGAAATGATCATAGTGCAGACAGTCTTTGTTTTAAGCGTGTAGGAAGCGTTTGTTGGTCGCCATCCTAGACTTCAATTCACCAATTTTGCTCTTTGAACGGCAGAGGGGGAGGGTGAAAACTGTT